GAAACCTTTTTTTTGGAGATTACAACGATGGACGAAGAAGTAGTGTTAACTGTAATGTTAAAATTATTGCGAAATGCAAGAAATATGCCAAGTTGGCGTGCTATTCTGATATTTAAGAGAGTACGAAAATTATATTTCGCTTATAATATTTTATTACAAAATAAAAAATATACAAGAAAACGAAAATTTTGGGTACGGCCAATGTTTACACAAAGAATGAGACATCTTCAAGGCGCAAGTGACAATTTAGTCGTTGAAATGCAAACGACCGAAGAATTGAGAAGTTCTTCAATTACTTTAGAATGACTCCGGAATTATTTGAAGAACTGCTGTCATTAGTTGGACCACTTATTGAGAAGCAAGAATTATGCCGAGTTTCAATTTCATCTCGTACAAGATTGCAACTGGTTTTACGCTGGTTGGCATCTGGTGATAGTATGGCATCTCTTTCATATGCATTTCGTATTGGAGCAAATACAGCTTCTAAAATCATAATCGATGTAACATTGCGTTGATTCCGTTGTACCGTTCCGGCCATAGTTCCGATGGTTCCGATACAGCAGAGAAACTTCTTACCGAACAAAATGCTAGTGAACTTATTTCTAGTAAGAAATCCGTTCCGTCGTTCCGATTCCGTGTACATGTGACGGCACCCTGAGTTCCCAAGGCTGATTGATTCCGTTCCGCTGTTTCTTTCCCCATGGGGACGCAGCCTTATTAAGCCCATGGCACATACAAAAACGTAAGACATAATCAGTAAGCGAATTGGCCAATGACGATAGAGACCGTAAGGCCAGTAGCGAATCCAATCTTAAGCGGGGAGCACAGACTCTTGCATAACGCATAACACGTAATGCATAAGAAAATGTGTACCAATCAAAGCCCTCCGTTTCCTTCCTTTCCATGAAATAAAGAATTCTGATTGATTGAATTTCTTATGCATTACATGTTATGCGTTATGCAAAAGTCTGTGCTCCCCGCTTTATGGCTGCAGCACAGACTCTTGCATAACGCATAGTGCATAAGGGAATTGACCAATCGAAATTCTTCTTTTCCATGGAATGGAAGGAAAGGAAAGATTCTGATTAGTTGATTCGCTTATGCACTATGCGTTATGCGTTATGCAAGAGTCTGTGCTGCGGCCTTTACGATTTCTTTACTGCTTACGTATTACGGCCTTACGTTTTTGTATGTGCCATGGGCTTAAGAAGAAGAAGGAGGTTTAAAACGTATTATGTGTTTGTAAATACTGTAAATTTGAAATAAAATAAATAATTGAATAAGTTATGCCAAAAGTAGTGTCAAGGAGCATTATATGCTCCGATACGAAAGATCAAGAAGAATATAGTGAGGAGAAACCGTTGCACATTTATTATTGTATATGTGGCCAGATGACACTAATTTTAGGTTAGAATTATTACATTTATAGATTTCTAAAAAGTAATTTATAGTGTAAAATATAGTTTTTTTGCGTTTATGTGTAAAGAATTAAATTTAATTTGGACTATTATTTGAGTAGAAAATATCTTATAAAATCATTTTATTTTCAAATATATTTAAATCAATATTTAAATGATATTTAAATCAAAATTATTAGTAACGTAACTTATGGTTGTTCTACAATATGCTTTTTGTTTCCTGTTTCTTGCTTTTTACCTTTTGCTTTTTTCTTCTTTGTGATCATTTTATGGACAATTGTATTTCTTAATATGCGCTTTCTGTTTCTTCTGAAGTTCGTTATAGCTATTCTACAATGTGCTCTTTGTTTCCTGTTTCTTGCTGTTTGTTTCTTGCCTTTTTCTCTTGACTAAAAGACATTGTAGAATGGCTATCAACGTTTATCTCGAGCAACAAAAAACGAAAAACGGGATAAGAGACAAAAAGACAAGATACAAAAAATAGCAAAAAGCAAGAAACGGGAAACAAAAAGCACATTGTAGAATAAAATTCAGTGCGCACTTAAAATGTCTATATATGTAGTATATAATTTCGTATGAAAATAATTAAGCACCTAAGATCTAGCTTTGACCGTTATAGATATTATCCCTTGGTTATTGTGTATTTGCATTATACGGTCTTAATAAATCGTTTATTATTGTTGGAACTATAAAATGTTTCTTAGTGTTTGTATATGTTTTGTAATCATTTATTTATAGATTGTGGCATTGAAAAATTACCTTTAAGAAAAAGAGATGGAGCAAGAGTAATCGACGGCAGTAAGCATGCCCACAAAATGACTTCGGAACGAGACGAAATTGTATTTCTTAAGCGTCCAGAGGGAATCGAAAAACAATATAGACAAAAGTGTAAAAAGTAAAAGTATAAGTACTTGTGTTTGTGCACAATATTTTTTATTCACAAGTGCATTGAAAATGTACTTGTGGCTTTTATTAATTATTTTGAATACATTAATAATTTTGTAATATAAAAACACTGAAAAAATATTTTACAAGAACAAGAATATTCAATATATATCTTGATATAATTAATGTTTTGCAGATGTGGCTTATTGCTGTATTATAAGCATGATCCAGGAGCAAATATAGTATTTATAGTAAAAGATTCGGTAATAAAAAGTTCTGGGGAGGGTCCTATGACAGACATTTATAATCAAGTGGCCATTGAGAAACCTAAAAAGATAATGGTTACAAAGCACACCAAAAATATGGGCAAATTCAGTTCGGTTACTGTATCCACGATTGATGAAGAAGAGGATGAAATAGAAGCTGTATATCAATTGCATTTTTATATATATTATCAAGCAGTTTATAATTTATGATACATAACATTTAAAAAAGTTAATCATGTATTATGGTAGCTATGACTAGATGAATGTTAAAATTTTTACTCTAATTACAGTTACATAAAATATAAAATTTATCTATTTGCTCGTTATTTGAGTTTGTGATATATTTTTTAATCAACCTGTATATATTCTTTGTTCTTTTTTTATAATAGTTTTTATTTTAAAAAATAATTGAAATTTCAGAGAGAAGTCGCCGACTCCTACGCGAACAACGCACGTATCATAGAAAAACAATTGGAGAGAAAAGGTATGAATAAACGAAAAACCATACCATCCACTGAAATAGATTCAAAGCGAGCAAGACCTAGAGGAACGTTGTTGGACGTTTGATTTTCTATCAAGAATCAATTGTAATTATGTACATTAATGTACTGTCTTAGGGTTAAAAATAAATTAATTTTCTTACATGTTATGCTTGGACAAAAAGATTGTAACACTTTCAATAAATTGGAGAATGCACAAACATCGCAATCTTATCATTTTTATGAATCTGGTTTATCGAAAAAGTTTTAATCCCTTTCTCTTCACAATAGTATATATTTTTCATAAAAATCATGTTTTTTCACAAGAACATAATAAACATTCAATCTTATATATTGATATATTTATTAACATTACACAAAAAAGTAAATTTTTAAAATATACAAATGACTAGATACAAATATTGCATAAAAATGTATATTGCAAAATATAGATAGAAATTTAACAAATAAATATATCAGTTACATACAATTTATCAATAAATAATAACTGCAAGCAAAAAAAAACATTTTTTTGCTTGCACTCGGAATTAGTTCATACAATGGCAACTTTAATTAATAATTAAACAGCACGTAATAAATTATTTGGTTGCTAAGAAGTAATTTCGAATTGATATGGCATATTTACGTCGTAGGATGGAAGAGCTATCTATCTAAATATAATTCTGTCACTGGCCACGTTTTTATCTATGGATTATGAAATGCTGCATGTGCAGTACTACTAGACATTAATGTTGTGTACACATGTAATCAAAATTTTGTTCGTTAAGTACATATGTATCCGTCTTTCTGTCTACTGCTGAGCTGCTGAAAGAGAGAGAGAGAGAGAGAGAGAGAGAGAGAGAGAGAGAGAGAGAGAGAGAGAGGGAGGGAGTGGGGGTGAGGGTGTATGTGTGTACGCGCGCGCGTGCATGCGTGCGCGTGTAAAATCTACTTATTCTCTAATTGTGCAATACACAGTAATCCAAGAAAAGTGCAGCTCGGTTACAAGTTTTTTGGTGGACAAACCTGGAAAATTCTTTAAAGACATTTATATAATCTTTTTTCATATGTCTAACTTTATATGCGCACGCACACATGCACGCGCACATGCACGCGCACATGCACACGCACGCACACACACACACACACACACACACACACACACACATACACACATGTATATACATAAACAAATATATACTTTTTTTGAGGATATTATATATTATACTTTGTTTTTATACTTGTCAAAATAAGATTTTACGAGATCTGCATTATGTTGTTAAAAAAGCAGGAAATTTAAAAAATTTGAAAATTGTTCTATCATTTAAATAATATCGATTCTAGCGTCATGATATATATACAGGGTGTCCTAAAAAAGTCGGGACACCTGAATATCTCAGAAATATAAGTTTTACAGAAAAGTGTTTCAGACAGAAGTTATAGGGTTCAAAAAGATCTATTTACTATCAATTTGATCTTGGGTGGCGTCGCCAAGGTCAGGTCACATCGATTTTTTTAAATCACCCTACTTTGATTTCAGAATCTAATAGTTGGTGTCGAGAGCTTTCCATAATGCTATAAGAAAATATTTTTTCATTAAGTACTTTTTGACTTATGATGCTTGAAGGTTACAGTACCGCCGGCATTAGCATTACGCAAGGTGTCCGATCGACGGCTAAAACCTCTTGAATGTTGTTCAGGATCATGTCCTGGATAACATTTGTCAAGATCAAAGCCTTTTGGAGTTTGTACCTCTTATTTTCATTTTTACGTAAAAATGAATTTTTAGTGCAAAAATTAAAATAAGAGGAATAATCTCCAATGGCCTTGACAGATTAAATCCGACTGAATAGCCTCCACGTAGTACACTTTGGATAACACTAATGTCAGAAGTACAGTAACTGTCAAGTTTTAAAATTCGAAAAGTGCTTAATGAAAAAATACTTTATTATAATATATTACGAAAACACCTCGACTTCGGCTTACAAGAATATGCAATAAAAAATAGTGATTGCTATTTAAAAAATTCATGTTGATCTTGACTTGACCTTGGTAATACTCCATACACAAAATCTATTATTTCCATCTTCTTTCTCTCAAAAAAACCTACAACTTTTATATAAAACTTTTTGCTGTATCTCTCTTAATTTCTGAGATTTTTCGCCTGGGATGATTAAAATGCCCCACCCTGTATGTATATATTATATACAGGGTGGCCCACGTAAAGTGTTACAAGCTAATAACTCTAAAAATATTTGTCCTATCAAGAAGTTGTTCATGAGAAAATTTCATATATTCGAGGGATCTTTCTCATGAACAACTTTTTGATAGGACAAATATTATTAGCTTGTGCGTGGGCCATCCTGTATATATAATCGTAATATATTTAGCTATTTTCTATTTAACTTAATAAATGCAGCTCAAATGTATTTTTTTAACGACAATCCCAAGCTATTTCGAATTACATTTCTCTATCTTACATATAATACGATTCCTCTGTTGGAATTATCACGTTCGCAGTTACTAGCGACAGTTCTCCATTAATCACGGTTTATTAGGCATACAATGCATTGTCGACAAGTTTTTTTTTTTATTAATATATAAAGTAAGTGGAATTATATATAAAGCATATTAATATATAAAAGTAATTTCTCTCTCAACATATTTAATAATAATAATTTTAAGTATGCTTTCATAAAAAGACAATTATATTTGTATGAACTTCTGTATATATACATATAAATATAATATGCATTGGATGCGAAATTTTAAAATATCAATATCGTTATAATTAAAAAATTTTTAACTGCTAATAAAAGTGTAATATCATTAACAGATAGAAATAAATATCGACAATGCATATCCTATCCGATATAATTATCCAGCAATTAATAGCATTAAATATTAATTTGCGATTTAATATCCACTTTCTTAAGTATCGTAGGTTCATCTTTGAGGAATGTGCCAGATCTCGAACCTACTGTAGGTTGCCTTTGCGTCTCCATATTGTGACACTTTTTAATCTTGTCATCAACTTTACCACCGATAATTCTTTTACCAACGACAACTGACTTGCTCATCTTACTGCTAATGTTAGATTTTGGAGAGGATTTTTTGCTAGGACTATCAGAGCTCTGCGAATTTTGAGTTTCCTTTTTTTCTCTCTTCGTAATGGGAGGAACATTTGTCTGTCGCGTTCTGAAAGGAGCTATTGTATTCACCGGTTTACTGGGGACATCCGGTGTCCTTGCAGCATCTAATAAACTTCTGCGTAAACTCGGTGATCCGTGATACGTGCTGCTGATAGCAGCAGCTCTACTGCGACTGGCGGCAGTAGAATTTTCCAACGATCTCGGAAGTCTCTTAGTGATCGTCAATGGACTCCTCTGCTGTGTTGGTGGCGAGTTTTTTTTCATTCTGCCGTTTACAGATTAATAAATCTGATTATTAATATAGAAACCAAAAAAATTAAATACATTATAAAAAATTGAATAATAAAAGGCATCTAGGAAAGATAGTATTTAAATTTTTTTAATATTAAGGAGTCTTCACTCTTACTTTATATATTTTTTAAATATATTATGTAATTCGAAATCACAACAGTTAGTAGAATTACGGCAAATCAGTCTTTCAAATTGAAATCGCATCAATTTAATAAGTTAAATTCCATCTTACCTGTCATAAGTTTGTGTTTTGTTCACTTTTACTAAAGTAGGCGACAATTTGTTGGACACAGTGGATTTTGGAGTTGTCGTTATCTCCGTCATAAGACTGTCGGTGGACATGGATGTATCCATTTTGTTAACTTTCTTTTTGACAGTGACCGGTTTATTCTTGGTCTCTAAAGAATCGATTGATAAACCTATTTCAGTGCTTTTTTGTTTTAAAGAAGGTGATTCGGGTCTAGTAATAGCGCAGCTTTTACTGATCAAATCCTTATTGCCAGTTTGGCTCGCGTTTGCCTCCGTTAAGCTGTCTGATGAAAGAGCTTTTATATCTTTTTTAACTGGTAACTTCATCTTGGATAGTGGTTTTTTATCTGTCGCACGTTTCATCGCAGGGCTGGAAGTGCGTGACGAATCAGACGAGGAAATCATAATTTTACGCCTTTGTTGTACGATTTTATCATGATGCAGAGGCACATTTTCCTTCGGGACAGGTTTATTTCTTGGCTCTAAATATCTTGATTTTACCTGTAAGTTTATATTGACAACTTTATCACACACACACACACACACACAGTTTGATTTTTTATAAACTTAATTATAATTAGGATTACTTTGTAATTAAAAAATATTGAGACACTAATAATTTTTTTCAATTAAAAAATTTGAGTTTTAATTATAAAGATATATGGAAAATTTCGGTAAATAATGATTCTTCTCGATATATAGTAATAATATGTAAATATGTAAAAGAGATTATAATGTTAAATATTCTTAAAAATTTCAAGCATATACCTCTATTTTATTAGGCCACGATTTTGGCCTGACAGTTTCACAAATAACCTGCTTATCCTCCTGCATTTTACGCTCAAGCGGATCTGTTTTTGGCTTACATAAAATTTTCTTAGTTTGCTTGGCTGATGACGTCTGCTTTAAGGTTTTGTCGTTATGCTCCGAAATCGCTATTTTTACACGTTTCAAATCCAAGCTACGACTTATCGTCGAACGATTTGGCGGTGCACGAGAATCCTTTGATACATGAAATGTGAATATTGATTTTATAGAAAAAATAATGTGGGGATATATGAAGGTAACGATATTAAGTTAATTCAATTACATTAATGTTAAAATTATTATATAGGGTAAATGTCCCAGTTACTGTTTAGTGGTAATTGAGATGCTTATTTTGAAGCTTTTAAGATATATAATAGACATCACTTTTTTTATTATATTCAAATAGAAACTTTAATATACACTAAATAAAAGCAACAAGCTCGAAAACTAATTATTTAAATATAGTGAAAAAAACAATATGTGAGGTATTGAACATATTACTGCCAGCCTTTGTCCAAATATTGTCTCCTTAATTACTGCCATATGTACCTAATACTGCCTCTCTATTTACTGCCCATGTACCAAATTCTGCCACCCAACTGCACAGTGTGCATAATAACAAAATATATACATTAATCATTATACAGATAACAGAGAAGAAAATATTTTTCAAGTATTATTATTTAGTGATGCCTGATAGTAATATTTATCACATCGT